TTGGGCATTTTGAAAAGTACCCCAAGGAGAAGCTGAGGGGATCACTTCTGTGTAGTGAAACGCCATAGTTACGGCGCATATTTACAGCTTCTAGGTCTTTTTTTGATGTTGTGGGGTGTATACGTATGTATATATACACAGTGGAGGAGGGGGTGGGCGGGGTTGGTTGGGAGGAATGTTCGATCACTTCGATGAATATGGCTAGAAGTGGAGCTATGAAGTTGAAGTTGTTTAGAATATGGTTTTGATTTGGTTGGATACTTGGACACTTTTGGCTTTGTTGGGATACGATAAACACTTCTATAGTGTTCCGAAAGATTAATGTCATTTATTTTTACTGAATTTATAAATTCCGTCTATATGGCGCTAATATGGCATTAAGTGAAATTTATCAATTAATACCACATAAATCGGGGTTATAATATCAATAGGGCTAAATAGCATATTCCGTTTAAAATTACAAAAAATCATAATTAAAGTTCTCTTGTCGCTTCAGTAATAAAATGTTATTATCTTGTTCGTTGAGGACAGGAAGTGAGGCGTAATGGAAGTTTTTATCTTGTCCATTAGAGACAGAAAATTGGGTCTGATCATATCATATATTATTCATGGGTTTTAGCACTTGTTGGATAAAAAATTTTAGAATAGTAATTCTTTGAAAATAATTTGTGTGAATATGTAGTAAGCATGAAAAATAAATGTGAGAAAATTGATTATCGAAGAATCAAAATAAAAAAAAAAAGGCTTGAACGAGATTTTAGGATAATATTTAGAGAGAGGCTAGGTGTACCGGGGGTGGGTGACAAACACTCTTACCGGCCTCTCACAACACATGGGGCCCACATTTTTTTTTTGAATTTTTTATTCATGTGGGGCCAGCATGATGTGAGAGTTTGTCAACTTTTTTGTCAAATTATTTTTGTACAAGTAGGATAAATCTAATATTTAAACAATTAAGTACCTTTCAATATAAGTTTTGGAGGAAATTAGTAAGTACCGGGGAACGTCCTCACAAGTAAGTTGATTATGCCGCCTCGATTGCTGTTCCTCTCTTCTTTTGCATTCTTTCTCCTTGATCGTGGAACCTCCTTAACACTTGTCATTTGTCCATCCGAACATTTTATTTTTAACAACATTAATAGTACAGTCAAGTGAAATGGATCTAATGGCAGTAGTGGGAACTTCCCCTGCTATTATCCCCTCTCTGAATGTAATTAAAAAAAAAGGGGCAATTGACACATAACGTCTTCAATTTTTAATTAAAAATTGTGAAATAATAAATATATCATTCACTTTAAATTATATATATAAAAAAAAAACTAATTGCAACCACTGTCTGAATATTTTTTAAAAAAAAGTGAAAATGAATCCTAAATAAATTGTTAAAATGGTAAATATACCTTTCTAATTTTTTAATAATTTATTTGTGACTCGTTTGTACTTTTTAATTTTTTAAATAAATTTAATTGGGACTTGTTTGCTCTTCTTTTTAAAATAATTAATTTTTAATTTTTTAATAATTTATTTGGACTTCTTTTGCACTTTTAAAAAAATTGGGAGTATGATTATAATTAATTCTTTAGCTTTTTTTATTTAAATATGAAGGCATATTCATCATTTTACAACTCTTTATTGATAAATTAGATGAAAATTGATAGAAATGATATTTTGCGTAATCAAATGTTTAAGGGTGAATGTAAAAAGAAATAAAATGTATGGATGGTTTTCACAATAATAGTGAAATGTATGGATATTATGTATTAATTATCCTTTTAATAATTTATTTGAGACTCATTTGCTTTTTTTAAAAAAAAAATTTGGGACAGCGATTGTAATTAGTTCTTTCTTTTTCTTTTTTTGTTTTATTTTAAGAGAATTATATTTTTCATTTTTCAATTTTTAATTGAGAAAATGTATGAAAATGACCTTTTGCACAATGAAATGTGAAAATAGAGATGAAAACGCTAAAAAATGAAATGTCTCCCAAAAATCGTATATGTCGACTTCCGAGCTTGATGAATGGAAATGGACACGAATGTGGTCTTCCGATACCTGAAATAAAGGCGTTGATGTGTTTTCTCATCGCCCTTCCGATGCTTAAGTTAGAGAGAGAATACGAAAATTGAGTATGCTATAAATTGTGTGTAAAAAACATACTTTAATAATGGGCTAGGATGATGTATTTATCAATGTTCTAAATATCATAAAGCGTAGCGTTGCGTCGAGGTCGAGAATTAAGAATCACAAGTTTAAGCGTGTCAATGCGAAGAATAAGCGTTATAATGCGTTTCATATTTTTAATATTATTTTAATTATTTTTAAGACATTAAATATATTTTTATATTAAAAAAATAGATTTTTTTGGAAAGGGGAAAAAAAGGGGGGGATAAGGCGCGCTTAAGCACGCTATAGCGAGATAAGGCGCGCTTACGCGACGCTTAAGCTTGCTATAGCACGCTATAGCGCGCTATAGGGGTCAACAAAAAAGGTTGACCGCTTTTTTACGCGAATACCCCGAAGCGGAGCGTTTTCACCGCGCTACGCTCTTTAGCGCGCTATAGCGGTGATATTTCTCGCTATTTAGAACACTGGTATTTATAGAGGTAGGTGATGCACTCCTAGTAGGATTGTAATGCTAAAATCCTTAGAAGTTGCAATTTACTGGTTTTGTATTACACAAGTGTTTGGATAGATATGTGATTCTAATGTTAGAGTCCTCCTAGAATGAGGTAACACATTCCCAGAAGGACTTCGCTTCCAAAGTGCCCGAGCTCGAGGACCATAACCCGAGGAGATTGTGAAGCATAGATGGGTCCTGCTATCCTCGGGTTTAGTGCTCGGGGTTAGATGATCTGAAATTGGTATCATCAGTGGCCCCCGTGCATCCATGCTTAGCTCGATGCATGCGATGCACATAATGTTCTTGTAGTGGAATGACCAGTTTTGGAAAAATCATGTTCAAACATGTGAAATTAGGCATGATCGGCCTTGGAAAAGACATGATCAGCCAAGTAAAAGGCATGTGGAGAAGGCATGATTAGCCATGTGAAGTCAGGCATAATCAACCTTGGGAAAGGCATGATCAGCCAAGTAAAATGCATGATCAGCCTTGGGAAAGGCATGATTGGCTACATGATCAGCCATGTAAAAGGCATGATCAACCATGTGAAATTAGGCATGATCAGACTTGGAAAAAGCGTGATCAGCCATGTGAAATTAAGCATGATCAGCCATGTGAAATTGGGCATGATCAGCCTTGGAGAAGGCGTGATCAGCCATGTAAAAGGCGTGATCAGCCATGTAAAATTGGGCATGATCAGCTTTATAAATTAGGCACGAGCAGCCAAATAAAATTGGGCATGATCAGTATTGGAAAAGGCTTGATCAGCCAAGTAAAAGGCATTATCAGCCTGGGAAAAGGCACGATCAGCCAAGTAAAAGGCATGATCAGCTTCTTGATCATGTTCGGGATAAGTATGGGTTAAGAAGTAGGAGGCTGCCACGTGGCCTCGATAATTGGGCTAAAAGCATTTGTCGTTGGATGGATGCCACGTGTCATAGGATAGACGGTCGAGATTAGGAGACCTTTTGACTTTTTCATCCTCCTATAAATACTCTCATACCCTACATCATTTGTCATTTTCACTCTCTCAATCCTCCTCGGACGTCCTCGAGTTTTAGTCTTAAGGTAAGACCAATAATTTAAGTTTATGAGTTATTCCTTCTTTTTTCTTTTTACTAAGGAAATGTCTAGTGGATCATCAAGGTCTAGCCTGACCCCTGACGATGTACATTTTATAGTCTCTGTGGCCGTCCCCTTAAGCAGTAGGCCGCCCATAGGTATTCGTGACCTTCGATCTAGGTATAAGGAGCAATAGGTTTTAAAGATCGTGAGGGAATATGGCTTGATACCATCGTGCAACGTTAGGACCCCTAGACCCGAGGATATAGTTTCGAGTGCACGGGAAGGTGAGATTGTGGTTTTCAAAAATAGTTTAAAAGGGGGAATGAGATGGCCCCTCTACCCTTTTCTTGTCGAGTTCTTGATGGAGCATGAGATGTGCCCCGGGCAGCTTGTACCGAATGGGTGGAGGATGATTATGTACTTCATTACAGCTTGCCGGGCACTTTCTATAAACCCAGGGCTCGACCTTCTGAGAATGGTCTGTGAGCTTAAGTATATTCCAGGTTTCAATTGTTTTGTTTATTTGTTGACTCAGGGTAGGTTTAGGATCCCAAAATGTCAAGCTCTCTTAAAAGGTGGAAGGCGAGGTACTTTTTTATAACCCCTCAACATCCCGACCATCCCTTTAGCCCGAGGTGGATGGTGCCTGACACTGCTCGGTTCAATGAGGGCCAGGCGTACTTTGAGGTCAAAACACCTCGAAAGGGATAGGCAAATGTTGGAGGACCTCGAGCCTCGAGCCTCTAGCCTTCGATTTAGATCATATCCTCAGTGACGATATCCTCGACCTTGCCGATGTGAAGGGTGTCGAAGGTAGGGTGTTCGAGCAACTGTCGTGACTAATGATTGATAATATTGTCGGGAAACTAAATTGTTTTTTTTTACGTTTTGTAGAGCTCTAGATGACTTTCG